CATAAACTAAATAAACAAGTAGATTCTGAAAACATCGGGGTCGATTTTTCTTCGTTTAAAGCAAGAAAATTAAAATTACAAAAGCGCCTGAATGTAATGGAATACCTTTTTTTCTAAATTTCAGAGTTATTTGCTATTTCTCAATAAGGTACTTTTAAAATTTACTTTTATATCTATGTTATCGTGTTTAAAATTTTTAAATTATCACTTGTATTAAATTTCTCAGATATAAAGTATAATTACAAATGTCATAAGTGCTATGCTACTATTTAGTATAGTTAATTTCATTGAGTAGAAAAATATAGAGATACAGTTAATTTTTATTATATATAAACGCGCGTATATACCTCTCTACCTCTCTGCCACCTAAATATTATACAATTTTCCTTTTACAGAACAAATCAGTTCACAAAACTATACACTTAAAACGTCTGATTATTGAATTATTTAATCTATTTATTATGCAACAAATGCTAGTAGTAGCCGAGGAAGCACTAACAGCATTCATGGTGATTTCCAAAAAGGCCTGCAAACGTTTACAAAATCCGCTGTTTTTTATTCTGGAAGATATCCTGAAGCGGAATACTAATATCTAAGACTACAGCTAACGTTCCAAGGCGTCTGGTCTATTAATGACGCCAGTGTTACAGCCATTGAGTCATAATTGCATCAAATTATATGCAGATTTATTATTAGATATTATTAAACTATCGAATGTTCTCATTCTCAAATGAACCAACCATAGCTCACAAGTAGCCTAAATATCTGAAGACAACAAACATCGGTAGTTCATTCTGGGTTTCTCTTTTATCGCCTAATTTAGAGAGCTGCATGGATTTTTCATGGCTTTCTGTGCAAAAACCTAAATATGGATTAGTGTCCCTATAAAGTCTCCTTCAAAGTTCTTTCTCTTAGAAAGATAACTTCCTATCCATTCCATATGCTATGCGCAGTCCAATCCTAAAGTATTTTAAGTTTATATTAAATAGGAAAAGAAGAAAGTTATTCTACTTTATAAAGGAAGCTAAAAGGTCGTTTAAAAATTAACAATGAATCATATCTCTGCGCATCATTTTTATTTCTAAACGAACATAGAAGCAACAAAATTAAAACATTAACATTGTTATAACGAATGTAAAGTTTTAATAAACCTAACTGTACCTATCTTATTTAACCACTCATCAGTTATTCAAAAATACGTCATTGCCAACTTCCTATTTACAATAAATATGTAGATCCTTATCACCAACATATTGTTACTGGAGATCTCAATATCATTGAAGATATACAATTGTGTGACCTTATGCAACTTGGCACTAAATTTCGTCCTACTTTCAGTATCAATAAGCACTTTAGCCTTAAACAATTCAATAATGATCTTAATAAATTTATCATTTTAGCTAGTAATAGATCTAATTTGCCTACTACTACTTTTCTTGAATGGAAAGCTGCACTAATTAAAGAATTTCAGCTTATGCTTTTCAAGTTACCCAATTTCAATTATTTACACAATAAAAAGCATCTAGAAATTCTTATTCAGAAACAGCAAGATAACTTTATCATGACAAAGATCGACAAAGCTAGCAACAATTTTAGTGTTATTTGAAAAACGTTTTATTTCGACCTTCTGAATAATGAATTGAATAACACTTGCACCTACCAAAAGATTACTACAAGCACTAAGATTCTTCTCATTAAATTTAATACACTACATAAAAAACTTAAAATCCTTCCCCGGAAATATAATAAGAGATTTGCAAATCTATATGCACTACCAAAATTTCATAAGACTCCGATCAAATTTAGGTTCATTGCCAATAATACCAAAAGTTATCTTAAAGAAATAGATTATCTCTTTGCACAAAAACTGCGTCTAATTCGTGACCTCATTAATAATTATGATTTTAAAGATCTACATTGCAACTGGATGATTTCAAAGTAACGAACAGGTTCTAAATACTTTAAATACACTTAAAAATAGAACGTATCCAATGCTACGACTTTGAAAACTTTTATACTACTTTACCACTTGAAGAAATTCATAAAAGTTTACTTGCTTTTCCTGAATTATTTCCAGAAATTTCTACAATAATAAATACTGAAAAATGGCAACTTTTTCATGCGTACTTTTCAATAATTTTATTCAATTTAACAATAACATCTTTAAACAAATACAGCGATTTCCAATGGGAGGTAATTTTTCAAGTTCTGTCTGTGAATTATTCCTTTTTACAAAAGAATTAACTTTTATACGTTCACTCAGTAAGGAAGACCATAAACTTTATCAACACATCTTTCGATATATTGAGGATGTAATAGCCTTCAACAACTTCAACAAGATAGAAAATGCTAATATCTACCCTTCATTCCTAAACCTTAATACTACAAATACCGTGCAACATAATACAGTCTACCTTGATTTGCATATTATAGATTACAATTTTTTAAAAGTCTATGACAAAAGAAGAGAATTCAATTTTTCAACACTTAAATTAACTAACTGGAATTCCAATATTTCTAAAAGAGTCATCCTCAACACAATTTACTCACAGCTGCTTAGAATTAAAAGAATCTGCAATACAGAAAAACAGCTTCAAGAAGAAGTACTACGTGAAAATTTTGAAAAATAACCTCATTCCTCAAAAAATAATTAAAAATACCTTAAAAAATCTGGCATTAGCCTTACCAATTTTTAGATTTTTTGACTTAGATAATGAAATTTTTTTACTTAAAGCCCAATGAGACGGTATAAAGTGGATGGCTGAATTCTGAAGATCTAATTTATAAATGTACAGATAATTTCTGTCACAGCGTCAATTTTCCTCTTAAAATTTGGCCAAAATCTTAAAACTTCTTGGCACAATACTTTTAATGCTATTTTTAAATAGTTTAAAAAATACTTTGATGGCCAATTCGAATTCCTGTTATTAACTTACGGGCCGATTTTCGTTTCTGGCAAGCTTGATCACACTCTAGCTTGAAGAATTACGACTTTAATTAACAAATTACTATTTTTTCTACTTCTATTTTTCTAGAGGCCACTTTAGAGTTTTTTTTTTTTTTTTAGATAATGTTTTGTTGAATTAGCCATTTGCACTTTTATACCCAGTCCATTTTCCTTCAAACTACTATAACAAAGACGCCAGTTTGAACTTTTTCCACATTTTTCAACGCCTTTCACCCCCTTTTTGCTATGAGCCAGGTTGCCTGCCAACGGAACAGTCACTTGGTCATTGGCTATTTATTGCCCAGTGACGTTGTTTTCCCCCTTTCTACGTCACCCGACAAGTTGGAGGGCAATGGAAACGCTAGGGGGTTTGCACAACCTTTTCGAGTTTAATTGTCGCCAAGGAAGATAGCTTTGTACCAGGTCTGATTTTTATAATTTTTTCTCTAAACGTTTTTCTAGGTCTTGGCAAGACCCATGCTGCTTGTCGTCTTATTTATTATTTTTCCTTTTTGATTTAAATATAATTTACGGTTCCTTTGCAAGGTTTTAATTCTTTAAGCTCGCAGGTCCAGCCCATAAGTTCTTGTATATTTTGACTAACAGCATACTGCTATTTATTTATTTATTTATTCTGTACGTCGGAATTGCGTTTCCATTTTTTACACCTTAGTGTGTCAGTATATGTGGACGCGTCGAAAAATTGGAACAGAGAATTGAGACTAAAGTTTTTTGACATAGTTTATTTAATTCATTAAAAATTTGTCGCGCAAAGTTTCAATTGTCTGTTTCGACGAAACGCGTAATGGAATTAGCTTGGTTCGAAGTTCATTTTAAAAAATTTCCCTTGACAAGCCAAAATGTACTTCCAAATGGGCTAATTAACCATTTACCGCTTCTTAATTTTGATATTTTTTATATTTGACCTTGATCAATTGATTTGTATTTTACTGTGTTTTATAATCTACTTTTTTCGTTTAACATATAGGCTACTATGTTATTTTACCTCATTCAATTGATTTGTTTTTTACTGTGTTAAAAATTACCTAATTTGTTTAGCATATAGCTTTTTTATTAATTTAACTTGTAAACATTCAAATATTTTTTTCTCCTCTTTCACACATTTCATAGCATCTAAATATGCTTATGTTGGAGTTTTCACGGAGCCACAGGTTTTGGCATCTTTTTGGCGTGCATACTAAAATTTATCTTCTAATTTCCTTAATTTTGCAGCACAATGTGTAAAATTTTGACCAAAATTGGTCTTTTTTCGTTTGTTCTTACAACCTTACTTATAATTATATATATATATATATATATATATATAAATGCGTGTGTGCAAGATAAAAAATATGAATGCAAACTTCTAATATTAATTGGCTATAACCTCTTCGAGTTCTATTTTAATTTTAGAACTTCCTCGCTCTATCTTAAAAATAGCGCTATAAGTCTAAACTGGGTCAATCGAATTAATCATGCGTTCTTAGGTAATGCTTAATGTAGATACCTCTGTCGCCCAATCACTATAATAGCAAACTAAAACTTTTTAACTCGAATTGAAACTTTTGACTCCCTCCCTTCTTCCTCTGAAGTGCTGCGACACTTTGGCTTACGCTTTCCTCCTGGCAAGACGCTCCTGCAAACATTTATGCGCTGCTATGCTTTATATAAAAATTATTGTAATTGCTTATGATCAAAACGTATATTGCCTTTAAAGAAATGATTTTGATGTGCCTAAAAATAAAGATGGTGATTTGTCGAACTTAGTTTTGTCAGCGTTTTTTTTTTTTTTTTTTTTTTTTTTTTTTTTTTTTTTTTTTTTTTTTTTTTTTTTTTTTTTTCTTTTCCAAGCTTTACATGGGATTTAAAAGATTTAAAAAACTTATATATTACTTATATATATATATAAATAATATATATATATATAGAGAAGTATCTATTCAACGATCAAATACATGACATGAAGTTTTTGAAAAATATTCCTTTACGAAAAATTACCTATCCATGCAATAAGAAAATTTTATTATATAGATGATATATTACATACCAAAAACTTTTCATATATACAGTAGACGCCGCTTATTGCGATCGCTCTTAATGTTATCATTCGGGTATTGCCCAGGTCTTGCCTTTTGTATACGAAAACGTGGAAAATACTTTGCTTATTGCGATCAACAGTTCGGTTGGTAGGGTCCAGGACTTTCAGTCGTTGCCATTTTGCTGTCAATTAAAAATGAAATATATAATAAAAGTTCCTTAAAATATATATTATTACTTATTTATAAATGTTGGTTATAAAGAAATTACACATAGTTAGAAAATTACGTCAGTATCAAATAGATGAAAATTATCACATTTCACAGTTATGGTCAAATCCTCTAAGATAATCATTTGGTCTCTAAATTATGCAGATACAATATATTTACTCTATTCGTCAAAATTTCTTAAAATTTTAATCAGCTAGTTTAAAGAAATCACTTATGCAAGCATGAATTTTACATTTCTATGAAATCTTACTTGAAAATGGAAATACTTAGGAAACTTGTTAATAATTTGTAGGGATTTATATTTATTTTGACTAATAAATCAAAGTTTTATTTTAAACTTTCCTATTGGCCTTCATTCCCCTAATTGTCATTGCCAGAATAGGTAAATGTTATAGCGCGCGTGAACGAATGCACATTTTCTACTCTGAAGGAAGTAGTCAAAAGCCGAGTTTCGTAGGCGAAAGAGTTAGGCTGTAGCCGCTGTCTCTGCTGTAGGTAAGTTTGCTTATTGCTGGTTCAGGTGGCTTAATTGCATTGCTTTGCTGTCACTAGCTTCGAAGGGGATTTCGCTGAGCCCTGCATTCTCGTTATATCGTTTGTTAACATCTTCAAGTTTTAGTTTTTTTAGACTTTGAGTTACCGCCCAAGCAGAGGCGAAGTTTATTAGCTTCGAGTTGACACATTGTAAATTTTAAAGAGTTAATAAAGGCTACTTTAATCCTTCTCCTGTGTAGTAGTTTCCTGCTACTCCCGTATTCAGATAGAAGTTCAATCACTAGATTTTACAGTGGCGCCCGAATTAAAAGGATGATGATTTCTCCCCACCCAGGATTTGGCGATTGGGTCCCCTAAAAACCCCAGTCGCCCTTTAAAAGAGGGAGTATATAAGGTATTTCTCCCGCCTTTCTAGCGTGCCTTCGTGGTGTAGTGGTTCTGCACGCTGGGATGGTATGCCAGAGGTCCGTGGTTCGATTCCCGGCGAAGGAGATTGCTCATTTTTCATCTTGCCTGCTTCCAAAAAATACCTAAATTCTCTAGAAACTGACTCTCTTAAACTTCATAAATATACACCTAAATATACTAATAAGTTAACTTTAATGTAATCTATAACGATGTATTTGTATAAAATTGTATACAAAAAACATTTTATATATTATTCAAGAGGTTTTAATGCAAGGAATTTCTTAAAGTTTAACAAATTATCTGGTTCTTTAAATGGCAAAAGTTTTGAAAGTTGTTTTACCGTAACTTTGGTTGCAGAGCAAAATTTTTGCATGCGATTTGTTTTAAAAGACTTGCAAAAAATCGAGTTTAAATATAAAATCAAAAACAAAATTCAATTTTTTTCAATATGTGAAGACAATCATCAAATGTTGTCTTTAAAACGGTTGATATATTCTGAAATCTCAAAATATTACTTTTTTATAATGAATCTTACATTACATTACTTTTAATATAATGCTGTATTTTATTATATATTATTTTTTTTATAATATATAATATCAATAACTTATATTTTGATATAAAAATAATATATAATTATAAATAAACCATAATATTATGATTAAACTTTAAAATAAGGCATAATATTTAAATTAAAAGTAATATAATGTAACATTTATAATAAAAATTAAATTATTTATAGATTTGAAAATAAATTGACTATTTTTAAGGCAATATTTAAGGAAGTATTTGTGCATATAAGTAAAAAATTAAATTTTGTTTGTGATTTTATGTTAAAATTCGATTTCTTGAAAGTATTTTTAAACAATTTGTATGCAAAAATTTGCTCTGCAACGAAAGTTATGGTAAAACACCTTTCTAAACTTTTGCCATTTAAAGAAATGTGTTTACTGCATCTTTTGGTTGGATAGAATTATTTAATTATGGCAAAGCACACGACGGCTATCTGCCTAAAGGGAAGGATGCCTTCGTGGAGGACCTTCTAAGAGGAACTGGCTCCTATACACGTCACACATCGGGAAGGCCACGAAAACGCCCATGCAGCTAGCCCGTTCGTGGGATTCGAGTCTCGGACCGACCTACCAGTGTTCAGCGTAGTTACCGCTCGGCCGCTGGTGGGCCCTGCATCTTATGGTATGCATATCGTACACCTAATTATCATACTGAGAAAAATCATCCAAATAAACTCTTCATCTGGAAAGAATCCTTAGTTCTAGGTAGTACTTTAATAATTTCAAGCATTATGTTTAATTCCGAAAACGTTTTGCTTCCTTGAAGTAAAGGAAGTTTTATAATCGAGAAAAATTTTGAGTATCATATTTCAACGAAACATTATTCATTCTCGAATTCATTTCAACGATGTTTTTGCGTGGCATCTGACAGAACAAATGACGCTTTCTTTCCAATACGGATTGTAAAAGAGTTTAAAATGAATTTACAAGAGATTTTTTCGTGACACCTGTACGTACGTACGTACGTACGTATGTATGTATGTATAAATGTATCTCGCATAACTCAAAAACGAGTGTATATATATATATATACACTCTGTTACCCGGCTCGTTGAGTACAGTTTTTTCATTTTTATATGTAGATAAATTGTGCATTTTTTGCTTTAAAAGTGACTGAGTTATGTTTTCCTTATGCTCTGGTTACCATTTTTATGCCTTTAGTTAATCTAAGTGGTACGAAGTATAGTATTAGTAGTATTTATTTAGTACTAAGCCTAACGAGGCAATCATTTGTTTACATTGGAAATACGTAGTAGAACAATAAATTAATTCAGTTAGTGCACCTCACTTTAGTGTCTTTTTGCAAATAAGAACACTTTAAATTTTGTGCACCGAAAAATCTGCTTTCCTCCCCTTTGGCCTAATTGCTTGCTTTTGCTTAGAAGCTCTTAATTTTAATTATAAAAATTGTTTTTAAAACTGTTTTTAACTGCAGTTAGTGCTTTACGTGTTTCTGCATTTTACAATTTTTAATGAAGACGTTTTGAGTTTTATGTATTTTTTGCCTTGTCTCGAAGTGAGAACTGAATTAATTGAATGAGAAATATATTTCTAATGAAATTCGAAGAAATAAGTTTAAATGAAGTGCAGCAAAATATGTATATAATTTAATAGGCCGTAGAAAGAAATCCTGTGGTTTTCATATCAGGTTTTCTCTTTTAAAATTTAATATAGACAGAGGTACATAAGAGGTAAACAAAATTATTGAACTAAATAAACTGAATATAATATGGCAAGCTATAATATAGGCATGTTAAGAAAAATACATCTTGACGGCAAATCGGCTTGATGGTAAAATGCCCCAAAGGCGAACTAAAATGACGGCGAAACGACGACGTCAAAACGGCGGTGCTGAATATTCCCATTCCTGAAATAACAGTACGTTGTTCTAATCTGTACTCTGGAAAATTTAATACTTAAAATAAACTTTCATATTCCATTTGCAAAAATAGTTCATTTATCAAATTGATTTTTGTATTTGCAATTCAACTTACTATTACCGTTTCAAATGATTCAAACGTTTCACATGTATTTTGGTCAATAACTGGGTTTAATTCATATTTCTAATAGCATGCTTTATTAAGAATCGTTGTGCATTTTTATTGCTATTAAGTTTTGTTGTCATATAATGTATAAAATAATATAATAGAACCTAAAAGGTTTCATGTTATCCTGTTTCAAGAAACATTATTCAATTCAAATCGCAGAACAAAATCACAAAGTAAATGAACATACAAATCAGGTTTCATACTTCCAAGTTTATTCAATCCTAACACACATTCAACTGGCGCTGCCAGAACTAAGAACAAGAAGTATACATCATGAAAGATTTACGCCCTCTACTGGCGATTAAAATATATTTCCAGATAAATTTCTTACATAATGCACGTTTTTAAACAACGCTTAACAAAGAGATTGTAATAGCTTCCTAACGAATTCATTATATTTCCTCCATGTGCCTTATCCGAGTTAACGGTAAGCACGTTTCCAGTATTCCGTGCTTTCGGATTCGATTTCTGGCGAATACGCAAGGAATTGTTCAAGGAACTCAATCTAGAAGCTCTTAATACATTTACAGTGACATGTGAATTGAAAATTGGTGACAACAGTTAGTCATTATCTTGGATGGCTTCGCTGGATTTCGCATCTTCTCCTATTTTCCCATGTTCTTAGGATGTAGTGCTTGTTGCATCAGCTCGGCAAGCTGAAGACTCAAACTATTGGCAAGAATACAATACATTTTCAAGGAATTTCAAATAGAAAACTCTTAATGGCTAAACAAACTAACTGATCCAATTTAATACCTGTCTCAAAACAAAAATTAAAAAAAAATTGAATAGAAAATCCGAGCTCCTTCCATTTTAAATTTACACCTAAACATATGTACCAGAATGTCAGTTATGTTGGATGAAAGTAATTTGATGGAATGATTTTATAAAATAAAAAATTAATAATATGAATTTGAAGAGCATTTTTTTACAAATTGCAGTAGTTTACCTACTGTATAGTAGGACCTATATTACCAAAATTATTAAACGCTTGCAATAATTGATTTAAAAATTATATTTAAATTTAAAAAATGCAAGAATTACAAATTTGTATTTACTAGTACTGTAAATAAAATAAGAAAAAACAAAGCAAATGAAATACAGATATTTCTTATCCGTATTTTAACATCTGGATAATAAATTTTTCTTCCCTTTCACTTAATGATATTCTTAACCGACTTGAATTTTCTTCGAGATCATTAACAGGATTTAATTTTCTTTTAATATAGTGGTTCAATACACATTACGAGATTCTTCATTTCTTTAATTGTTGATCCTAGGAAGATATTTCAGTTTCAAAATAAATTAGAATTTTTTAAAACATATTTCAGCACCTTGGATAGGATATATGCTGTATTTAGCTTTTTATAATGCCCCCCATAGAACAAAAGGTCCAATAAGTAAAATATTCGAACTGCTTTCCTAAATTAAATGCAAAGCGTGTCTTGATATTTTTATGTCATATTCGCAGAATTATTAGTAAGTAATGCTTTGGAGATAATAGTGAGGTATTTAGTTTTATTTTAACAACAAACTACTCGTAATCCTTAAAATGAGCAATTTTTATTTTATATTCTGCTTTGAAATTGGTTGAAATACGTTTTTGGATTGACATATCAAAATCATGACTAGAACTCTTCTATAGAAAAGACTATGGAAGATACCACATAATAAGGCTTATGTTGAATTTTTGTCGAAATTTTCACTACCTTGAATTTTTAGCGTGAGCCTTAAATTACAATAAACGTTTCATAAGGAAATAAGACTTGTTTGCAGAAGGTGAAGTATATTGATATTTCACAATATTACAACATCACTTTGACTATCAAAATCAACATCACTCTGACTTCAAGTGAAAAGTGATTAACGAGATTTTCCTTATATTGTCTGCAAACACTCATTTCTGAATGTAATCAGATTGAAAAGAACGCTTTTTCACAACAGCCGTGTCTTTCGGAAAGTAAAAACCTAGAGAAAGGAGTCTGCTGAACGTTTCAAAACTATCAAAAACTGTGGGCAACTGTGTGTAGCAGAATTTTGAATAATTATACTTACTTTTATAGAAACTATAAAGATTTTGAACTTACAAGAAACTGTATGGTAATTGTTTCAAATGTTTGTTTTAGAAACAAAAAACTAAAGTGCATATCAGATTATTGGGAAATTCAAAGGTGAGCTATCTTACTCCTTTCTCAATTAAAAAAAAAGTTTGAATTTTTGTCTTACGGTAGTTTTTAAACAGCTGATACTCAGTAATACTACAGTAATCATACATAGGATAACCAAAGGAGTTTTTAAAGTATTTCTGAATTTTCTGAATGCAATACCTGTAAAATTTGTAATAAGTAAGTATTAATTTGCAATTTATTAGTCTAAAAGTGATGTTTTATAGAATTTTCTGTATTTGAAATTATGGTAAATTGGAGAAATATTTAATGCAGTATATATAAATTTTGTTTTCATATTAAGTTGTTACCTAATTCTGCCAGCGTTTAAATGAAACTAAGAAATAAATTGTCCGAATTTAGGATGTAGTGAATTTCCAAATAAGTTATTGGAAATTCATTCCCTTCTTTTTAGTAAATAAGTAATAAATGCAACTGGAAATCATTTATTAATGCAAATTCTACAGTTTCTTTTTTAATATATATGTTATTTTCAACCTCACTAATCATTCCTCCAAAAAAAAAAAAAAAAAAAAAAAATTCAGTAATCCCAGTTTCGCACGCAACAGAAATAAATTCAAGATCTAACCCAAAATTATCAGTCCAAAGGGGCAATTTGCTTAGAAAGACTATTAATTTCGTTTTGGCATTTTGAGTTGAAATGTAGGTTCCTTGTTGCTGCTAAATATTATTGCCCTGTGTTAGATTTAAAGAAATTAAATAATGAAGAATCTGCATGAAAGTATGTATGTTTCTCTCATTGTGATAACACAAGGATACCTGGAGCCATCAAATTTTGAATAACGATAAGCTTCCACCGAATATGGACATCTGGAAACCTTAATTTGGAATTTGAAATTTCTTTTATTATCGACTAATAGTATAATAGCTACACGGCCAACCTTCGACTGGCTTTTAAATGTACCGGAAAAATGCCTGAGGGGAACACCAAACGTTAAATTTAAAAACTGCGCAGAATTTTACTCTGCAGAACAACTTCATTCAAAAAAAATTTTTAAATGTATTGCATGTAACAAAATTACAATGAAATAAGCAATATTCCTTAATACAATTATTAATTATTCTAATAAATAAATTAATCAAATTCCCGTTGTTTTCTCTCAACAAACGTCTAGTACCCAAGAAAAACATTATATTTAATAACTGCACAGAATTATCGCCCTCATTTTTCCAAGTGGCAACGTTGCCAAAACCACATTTCTAAAAGAATGAAACTATTCAAAATGGTGCGATAAAATCGAAAAGTTAAAATAAAAAAGTCTGATTCGAATTTTGAAAAAATTGCTTCGAGGTGCACTGGCTCTTGTCTAGATGCACCTGTATACCAAATTTCGTAACCCTGAGTCTATTAGCTTACGCGCAGCAAAAACGAAAAGACATGCAGACCCTTTCTTTTATTATATGTAGAAATTTCGTATTTTGTAACATTTTAACGAATTTTTGATTAACGAAAACTCACTGATTTCAAAGCGAGCAATGGCAACACTGCACAGAATTTTTTTTTTTTTTTTCAGCCCGCGTGACTGTACCGGAAACTCTAAAGACATGTTCATTTTAAAATTATTTTACAATATTGCTATTGAATTGAATTTTATAGTTTGAGTGCAAAGAACATGATATTTAATAAATAAAAGTAACACACAAAAAGTTAAAATATTTGGGCGTCTGGAACTTTTCGATTTTTTTAAACATATTATATTCATGGTGAAAAGTAAGATATTATGTCACGTTAAAAATTAAGACAATAAAATTAACGCTGCATAATAAAATTTTGAACTGCAACCTATAAATTACTAGCGGAAGTACCCGATGCCAGTTAAGTAATGTATGTACGAGGACATTTGGAAAAGTAAAGATACAATGGCTCGCATTCCTTAAAAAAAAAATTATTTAGAAAACGTCAGTTACATCTTATTAACTGGATTATTTATTATTTTTCGACATAATCACACCCGTTATCCAAACATTTGTTAAGTCGGTGCAGAAGCTTTTGTATCCCACAGTCATAGAAGGTTGCCGCCTGTTGGAACCCAGCCCGCACACAATTTCCTGTACCCTAACTTGACAGTCACAACTTCATAAAGAGGTGTCATATACACTTCCGGTATGATCTGATGAAATTCTTTCAATTTGAGACGTCTATTCGCACGAATTGCTTCCTCTGTTCTCTGAAGAAGGTGTTAAATAGTTACTGCACCAATGTTCTGTTTCTCAGAGAGAAAACCTATGTTTTGTTACCATACTTTGCCTAAAAATCATGGGCACCAATGCTGTGTTACAACTTCCTCTTAGGGAGGAACTAATGCAGAAACAGACAGGTGAAACCGCAACTAACTAAATATCAACTGAGAAACTAAACTCTTAAGAGTTTGCCAATTACCAAACTTTTAGTGATCGTATAAGTGAATTTTTAATGCATTGCGTTGTGAAAATGCATCCGGGACCGCGCCGTGAGAGGATCAAATAAATAACATGTAAAATCAATATTTATATATAAGAAAAACACATAAAGGATATAAAGAAAACATAAGTAATAGGTTTCCAGATTAAATACCAGTTTATTCAAATTCCTCACAATTAAAAATTAATCTTATCCTAATCAGGGAGTCAAACTACTTATTTTTGTTAGTTTCAATTTACTTATTTTAGACACAGGTGAATTCTTCAATTTGCCATTTTTTTGTTACATTTAAATTCATGATTTTCAAATCTATTACATGACTCTTTTAATTTAACGGGTACCCGTTCTATAATTTCTAAGAGGTTAGGTTAAGGAAAACATATTTATTTGCAATTCAACATCTGTTCTAAGGAAGATTACACAAACAACTTAAATTATTACATCCTAATTCATATAAAGACCTTAAGGTTTGTCTCGGTCAATTAAGAAGGGGAAAGGGAAACAATTGAAAGTCCTGAGAATTAATTTAAGATTCGACGTTGTTATTTTACACTCCAAGGAAGTCGTTGAAACCTTACTTAAAGTTCAAACACAAAAAATAGAACTTATCTTGTAAGGACGTCTTGAAGTGGAGGACTCGTATCCTAATAAGCGTTGACGTCGGCGGGGCTGATTTTTACGGTCACAAATGGAAGTTTCAGAGGACATCGTCCTGTCCTGGCACTATTGGCGAAACACACACGCAGGTAACTGGTTTTCATAACGACGAAGCTATTTTTACTCTGGAAAACAGAAACAGGAGCACTGCTGCCCAGCACGGCTGTCCGCCTGGTCTTGAAAGTCTTAAATCACTCGCCCGGGTTCAATTTCGCCTTTTAACCAGAACGCGGCAGGGGAGCATGTTTGCAGCTCCCGGCCGGAAACGTCTCTCTAGGCAATTACAGCTCGCCTTCACTCGCTCATCCCAAGAGCAAGATCGAAGTTACAATCTTAGCCCAAAAGTAAGCAAGTCCACCCAGTAAGTGATTCCAAGAGTAAGAAGAGTAAGTGAGTAAAGTCTCTCGCCTCTTAGTCAAAACGCGGCCGGGGAGCATCTCTCTTCGTAAATTACATCGTTTCGAAAGCTCAACCCCAGAGCAAGTTTCAAGAGTGACGTCCAAAGTAAGCTCCGCAAGCAAGTCTCGCCAAGTCTCGCACGAAAAGGGGTTCAAAACTCGAATTTTCTTCCTCTCCTCCACAAACGCGGGCTCCCACTATGGCTTCAATTATCGCCCCCTTAATTTTGGCAAAATTTGCGTTTTCAACCCCTGAATGCGGAAATAAGGGTGATCGCGCATGCGCGCCCTTCCTTCACTTAGCCAACAACCGGACCCTCAATCGCCAAAACCTGAATGACTTACATCGAATGTCAAGTGGCAACCTCTGACCCTTCTGTCACGTACTTCCTGTCCTAAGGTCAACTGCACAATGAAATTTCTTCTAGAACATTCTAAAGGACAAAGCGCGCGAAATCATGACTTAGCAAAATTGCCTCCCTTTCCCTGCTTCTTTTCACAATGAATCAAAGCTCGTACAAAAATTGCAAATAAAAGAAAAATAAATAATATTCTTTTAAACTAAATAATATTCCCAGAAGCATCTGTTTTTCCCCAAAATTAAAGCATTAAAATAAATAATTCAGAATCAAATAAAATTAAGATTTCCGTAAATCAGAAAATCATTGACCTAGTTTTTATAACGCGATCAGACAAATTCTCTACACAACAAAGGGCATCCGAGATCACAGATGGCCGACTTGTTCTTTGTTCGTCATGAACATCGGTCCTACCTTCAGAGAGATGACGACTACATTTTGTCGATTCATAATGTTCCCATAAACAGAAACAATTTCTTTGTGAATATCCGCTGGTCGCTGACCTTTTGCATGAAGAAAACGTCTGACGGAGCGCAATTCGCAATTGGCGGGATTCTGAATCGGCGCAGCCATTTTAAACATGACCTACTCCAACCAGAATCAATGTTGAAATGCCGAACGATAGCGAGGAGAAATTTAACGGTTCAAGGTTAACACCTGTGTTGCCAACTTTCTCACCAAAACTTTTCTTTTCCTCTGGCGTACGGTGTATCTTTACTTTTCGAAATGCCCTCGTATCTAACAAACAGAGAGAACGATACCGCTGTAATCTTTTTCTAATAACGATACAAGAAATACGATTCATACGATTGATAATCATACATTTTTCTGTTTGATACGATATGAAACCCACTTAAAAAAGTTCGCTAAAAACATTAACTAATTCTCCCTCATTATAGCAGCAACAATGGCACGCAATTTTTAATGATTTTCATTTTTCTAATCAAATGGTCGTAAAAGCTCAAATTCTATCCAATATTTCACCTATATTCAATTTTAGTCGATTAAACATGGCAAAAAGTTTTCAGAGTTATCAGAAATTAATAGTGCAAACAAACAGACAAATATACAAACAGGCATTCTTCTTTATATGTATATATTTTGCAGTAAAAACATATTTCGAAATAAAGCATTTTTATCTCCAAAGGGCGAGATTGTTGCCACTCGGAAAAATGAGTGCGAAAATTAGTGTTTTCACAGTTTTTAATTAATATCTCGGCTGATTAAAGTCGAACAAGCTGGACATAGTCGAAATGGTTTCCCATGAATTTTTGGAATCGCGAACAATGTATTTAATGCTTGACAATACTATTTTTTCATTGTAAAACTTCGAAAGTTTTCATTAACAAACTCTACGATTTGAAAGCGAGCAGTGGCAACACTTCTCGAAATAAAGCATATTTTTATCGCCAGCGTGAGAGATTGTTGCAACTCGAAAAAATGAGGGCGAAAATTACGTTTTCAGAGTTTTCTTTTTTTGGAAAAAGTGAACGTCGACCTTTCCCCAAACCCAGAAAAGAATTCTAGAAAATTTGGGGACGAGAGCTATAGCACTGCCTAAGTTAATCGGGAACAAACAAACTCACAAACACAGAAACATTCTGCTTTTTATATATATAGGTGATAGAAAGTTTGTAAATTGCTAAAATGAAATAGATGTTTTACGACAAAACTCCATTTCCTCTAAATAGTGCAGATTTGTTCTTCTCTGAATCTTTTAATATTACTATGCTAAACAATTATTTCTAATACGCTGCCACTTTTAGTTAGTTACCTTATGTACATTTTGGAAATCGTATAATATGCGATCTACAGCTTTAATTGGCTATTTATTTCTTAGATGGCCCCATAAAAGAGTTATTTTTGAATTCGAACATGCGATAAAATGGCGGAAAAGATAAAGGATTAAACAACAAATAACTCCCTCCATCTAAAAAATAGCTAACTAAATATAGGTAGATGCATACTGCGTGATTAACGTTATTTGTTACTCTAAAGAAAATTTTCAATTCAAAATTGCAAGAGAAAATTGTCAGCTATTCAATATTACTTTCTTTGTAATCAATACTTTTTATCAAAAGAAAAATCCAATGTCAAAAGTGAATATTATTCAGCATACTATTTGATTACTTCGCATTTTATTTTTTAGTATGTTTGTCTTATTATCCCCTGAAAAAAATATAGCAAAAGAAGGTTTATTCCTCAGTGCCAGTGCTTATTTAAAATAAATCTAAAGATAAAATTTAAAGATAAAGGGAAAATGAAGCGTTGGAAGAAGAAGATAAAGTAAATGAGGTTGCCAATCAGTAAGCAATTTAAACGAAGCATTTATAAGTTAATTTTCAAACAAATTATTCAGTACTGGAGAAAGCTGAAATAAACTGCAGAAAATATTTCAATTTTAAATTCCCATCGAATTTCAGTTTGCGTTTGCTTACATTAGTTTGAAAGCAATATATTTTTGAATTTTTTATGTAAAATTAAAACATTCTTAGAATTATTTCTATTATCTTGTAATCATTGAAATTAACTGCTCATGTAGCAAATATTGAATGAATTAATTAGCACAATACGAAAGAAAATATAAATAAATAGGGGAACAGCAATTTCTTTGTCTTAGATCTGTTACTTGCTTTTAAGTAACAATTAGCTGCTGAATCCAATAATATTGTCGGATTCTTTCCTACGACGTCAACTGTTTAAGCTACAGGATATCCGCTCTTTGTCTCAAAAGTTTAACTATAATCGTCCTTCTACATACCCAGACGCCGAGAAGTTTTAAAAAGTATTTATTAATAGAGCAACAGTTACACAATAAACATTAAGCTTTAACATAAGCAACATTAATAGAGAAACAGTTACAAGCAGAATTTTGCCCAATTACTGGTCAGGATTAAAACAAAGACATTGCAAGCTTAAATAATACCGCAAATGACTACGCATCCTCTTACCTTCCTGCTGGTAACGTGTCGCTTAGCTTGTACTAGCTCTAGCTAAGTTAATTTGATATTGGTAAAATAGTGGCTTGACTAGGAAAAACACCAATTTTGAAATTGTTATGATGTCCTTTAAAATTTTCACATTGCCTTAATATGTTTTGTTTCCTAACGTTTTCGCATCTTTGCTTACCAGCACGACAGCTGTGCCTTCATTTTCTCAGTAGTTGAGAATGTTTTCCGCGAGTGACACCTACTTCAACATTTTAAGAGTTTTTCTTCACCTCTAATGACTTTTATCTAGTTTAGTATATCGAGAGATATATTCACAAGAGATTATTTCTTGTTGGAGGTAGGTCTTAGGACCAGGTATTCCGGTGTATGACACCACTCGTAAAGAGGCAGTCTTCTTCGTCATGAAGTTGGAGAAACAACAGGGTATTCATGATTGGGAGGTGGCGCCATCTATCTTGTCTTGGCGACATTAATCTCAGTCATCGTACAAAAGTAGCTGAAAATTTATAAGTCCATCTTTTCAAGAAGTTAGTCATATATAGCGACTGGGCTAGAGTTTTCCTAGTGCAGAGGAATTGGAGGGAAAGGGTGACGCAGTATGCTGCAAAGTAACGAAAAATTGTGCAGTGTGTATCATTAAAGACGGAATGTGTTTAATAAAATTTATGAATTTAAAAGTCTATTGAAAATTGGTTGAAATTCAATTTAATAATATTGTTTCCATATTTTATATTTTACATATGCATATATATATACATATGTGCATTTATATATATTTATATATATGTACGATTTTAACAGCTTCTAAGACATTATAATTCGTTAAAGTGGAATTTCACTTTCCTACTGTACTACGTAGTAGCAGTACTAGTATACTTTATTAAAAGTAGTGACACTACTAGTATACTGTGATAAATGTAGTAGCACTACTAGTATATTGTGTTTACAATACTGATGGAAAATTAAAATATCAGTCCTCTGGACAATAATTTGTTTTTTAATTTTGAAAACATAAAGTTGATGTTATTGGTATCCTTTTTATTAATGAAAACTCATAACTGACCGTAACAAGAAGTGTTCTTCCTCTTTTAAAGCCTACTTAGCACGCAGTAAAGAGGAGAACCGCATGTTTCAAGACATACTAATCATAGAAGTTTCGCCTCCTACCTCGATTTTATATTATAATATATTCTTGTATGCAATTTATAATGCCTGATAATATGCTGTCTGTTAAGTAAAAATAATAGATAAGTTGGTAGAAACAATATAAGAAAAATTTCAAGGCAGCAAATTATGCGAAAAAGAACATAATTAAATCAGTATTGTTTAAAATGTTAACCAAACATTACTCGTTTTCTTGTTCTAAATTGCAAATGTCTGTTTAGTCTCCTTTTGGTTCTAAAGTAAGGTTCCTAAAGTTTGATTGTTTAAATTATAGCAGGGCATATACATAGTGTTTGCTTAAGGTCGGATGCCTTCGTGGAGAACATTTTAAGGGAAATATATTAAGGCGACACATTTCACTGGTTCATGTTCGCGTTACACATGAGTAAAATCGCGAAATTTCTCATGAACTTTCCAATTCGCAGCCTTCAGTCGAACTACCAGTGAAATACCAATTTGCCATTTAAAGGCTGTAAGATTCCTAAAATACCTGTAACCAATTATATTTTAATAGCTTATTGTATTATAGTTTGAAGTTGTGTAAAACGTAACGGCTGTACTTGTAAACTAATATGTGAGAAACAGGAATCGATAAAAAAATAATAAATTTGATCTGCAATAGTTTCTTAACTTTTTTTCGTATTTTGGCTATTTCTTCTTTCCATGCTAAAATGGTTACTGCTTGTAAAAAATCGTTCTAATCTGCGTCACTTTAAAAGGAATTCTTTTTCCATAATTCTGACACAACGCTGACCTCGGTACTTGTACAATGTTTCAGGAAAGAATTATTTAAAATTTTGTGAGCTGAGACTCAAATAAAAAAATCAAAGTAATTTTTCTTATTTTTTAATTCTTGTAAAACTATGCATTCTTTCTCAGTTTCTGTCATCTGAAAGCTAATTGTCTGCTGCTACTTCATCTCTTTTCAAACATTCCCAAAAGAGTAAATATGCCATTGTATCTATTTTTGAAAAGGCGCACATTTAGCGTCAAGTTATCCATGGCGGCATTAAAAATATTATGCAACAATAAAAGAAATATTCAACCCGATGTGCTGCTACATCTGTAAATATCAATCACGTTCTTCATAAATCGATTGTCATCATTATCAGCTGTACAATCAGAATCTAAATTATAATATGCACAGATTACATATCTTAAGTACCAGCTGTATTTTATGGGGCTCAGCTTGCATTGTGTTTGTGCAGTCAGGTCAAAATTTTAATGAATAGTGAAATTTTAATGACTTGAAATTTTAATGAACTGTTAATTTCAGTATAATGATATGTATATTTCATGTAGCTCATTTATGATCCTAAAATTTGAGTAATTTTTCACATACAATAAGCGATTTTAATTTAATAAGCAAAGCTTTTCTGAAAGAATCACTCAGTGCAAATTCTTGCATATTTATTTACGATTCTATCACATACTCTTGCAATGTATTCATAGGATAAATGAAAATCATATAATTCAATTTTCTTAAAACAGCATATGTGAATGCAACACCTTTCCTAGGAAAAATACTTTTATTCGAAAATTAATTGATGATTTTTTTTTTCCAGAAGCGAAACCTCTCATACCTTTCTTGGAACTTTGATTTATAAGTTTTTGCCTGAGAATGCATGTTCTGAAATCTACTATAGAAGAGACAGGAGTAAATACCTTACCTTTCAATATTGATTACGTCCCGGAGTTCTTCAAGAAAAAAGCTAAGACAGAGCTGAATGAAACTCCTGACCGTGTGAAACAAAGTATAACGCGGATAAGAGAAATGATAAAAGGTTATTTGCGATTCCATATTCAATTTTATATAATTTCAGTAACAATATTTCATAATTGTTGCTATTTGTAGTTTCATCTAGTATAAAATTTTCTGAAATTCTTAATAATTTTATATTTTAATTTATTAATATTGCTAAGCATGAGTTTAGCGGCAATAAAATACAATAGAATCCTATCAACTGAACACTATTTCGTATAAATATACGATTTCTTTTTCTGTTTAATCACTAAAAGCTGCTGGTCATTTAAAACATTATTTTTGAAATATTCTGGAGGGTTATTATTAGCTAGACTATGATAATTTCCAATATTGCCTATACTGGCAAACAATATAAGTACCTTTAATTACTATAGTATTTTATTTACAGCACTGATTTATGCGTATGAATATCTGCATGTTTTCCTATTCAATTCAAAGGATTTCGCAATTTTTGCCTGTTTCTCTTTGTGACCACATCCTTGGAGTCCGTTTAATTTTCCTGACAGTTTTTTTTTTTTTTTTTCGTGAAAATTCCATCCATTCCTCATCTCAGTAACAAAATAGCTCGAGAAAGTCGGGTAGTCACGGTCGATTACCATTCACATTCTTTTCTGCAGCTAGCTGTTAGCAGTCTCACCTGAAGATTTATGGCTGTACGCTGTTATAACTGAAAACTTTCAGTTCATCCAGCACAGAATTTCTTAGTTCATGTCCAGGATTATAAATGCTAGGTTCTCTGTGCAACTAGAAATGTCTAACAAGAAGAAGAATAGAAATTCAAATCAACATAACAATGTAAATGAAGTTACATGCCGTAAGAAACTGAACAAAGATGAAAGTATTAATAATTTTGTCATGGTATCTACATGGTCAAGACCTAAACGGTGTTGACCGAAATTTGTGAATTATCCATCCTTTCTTCCATAAAACTCTACATTTTCGGTAACTCGACATCCTCTAAATTCACATTAGATCGAGTTTTCGGACTTCTACTTACAGAATATTGTAAAATTTGAGATGTTGTAAATTGAAGGTTTTACTATTTACATAAATAATTTTCGAAACTAATTTTTCAAACAATTTAGGTATCTGATTCCTGAGAAAAAATCTAGGTATTCAGATACCTGAGGAATTACGCTATGTTGTGGCTTTTTCTCTCTCTCTAAACTGCTTCCGACTAGAGAATTTCCGATTTTCGGAGTTTTATTCTTAATTTTAGATTTTTCATTTCAAATTTAATATTATTACTAATTTTTTTCTTTACATTCTTTTTTTTTTTTTTTCATTATGCTTTTTAGTAATTCATCGGTATTATGAAATATTCTAAATAACTAGCGTAAGTTTCGCAAAATCTTTTATGAAACACAAAAAAATGCAGCTAGAGTTTACCAAAACTAAAAATAAGAGCTATCTCAGAAAAGCACTAGTTTTCTTCTGACTAAATTTCCTGTAAATTAATTCAGGTAGTTAATTTTAATTTCGGCTACACAAACTGTAAGGATCTTAAGTTTTACTAACGTTTATTTTATTTTAAATCTTTACTATCACTTCTTATTTTCTACTTCCGGCCAGAATTAAAAGCTTTAACTTATTTATGCAAATTTGTCCGGCGAACGCCAAGTACTTAAGTTGTGGCTTTTTGCCAAGCAAGAGAGAGGAAGGAGTTAGTAGAAGCAGGCCGCTTGCCTTAGCAGTTTTTACTCGGTTGCTGGTTGCCTTCCAGGCCAGAGGTTTAATCCTCTTAATAATTTTAAACGTATTGTAGTGATAACAGTTCTCTGTACTACATACGGCTTCCTGTTAATATACGGACAATCTTCCACGTAGGCCCTTGTTTATTATTCCAAAGTTAAGTTAGAGTTTAGTTAATATTTTTATATTCTTACGTTCAGACCATAAGTGGTTGGTCTCTGTATTCCGAAGTTCGGAAATTATTGTAAAGAGTGAAAAATAAAGGGTTCGTATACCCTTACCTGTGTATCTTGTTCTACTTCCCACATTTATTGAACATAGCTTTAGTAAGCTCCCTGTTCCGAGTCAGGTTCTTGAATGTTCCCAAAGCAAGTAAGGCGGAACATTGAACCTGATAGTGGCGCCCAACGAAGAAGAATAACCATGGCCGAGTTTCAAGAAGAACCTGTGCTGACTGCAGAAGCGGCTCAGAATCCAGAAATGCCAGCTGCCGCCCTGGAAGGATTTGGATACATCGTCCAGACCATGCGCGCAGCGATGAAACCAGAAGCAACATTTAATGGAAACTCATCGGTAAACAGTTTTTTGGAAAACCCTGAATTAAAATATTTAGGTTACAAAATATCTCAGAAAGGAATCGAGACAGACGAATCAAAAATAATCGCTGTACAAAAGTATCCGACTCCAAACACGGCGAAGAAGCTCTCTTCTTCTCTAGGACTTTGTTCATATTATAGGTCCTTTATAAAAGATTTTACAGCTATTGCTGAACCATTGTTAAAATTAAAAAGGAAAAAGGCAGGATTCTCGTGGACGGCCGAAGCCAATAGTGCTTTCGAAAAATTAAACCAAGCCCCTGTGTTGAAATTTCCTGAAAAGGATGAGAATTTAGAAATTTCAGCGGATGCTTCGGATTATGCGGTAGGATCGGTACTTTCGCAAAATCAGCAGCCCGTGGCATTTTTTAGTCAAACTTTAAATCAAACACAAAGAAATTATTCCGCGACCGAGAGAGAGGCACTTGCAGTTCTGTTAGTAGTGCAAAAGTTCCGAGTCTATTTTGGAAGGCGCCAATAACAGTGTATTCTGATCATGCGGCGGTAACTAGATTGTACTCAGGGAAAAACTATCCCCAAGGTTAATAAGATGGGCACTCAAGCTACAAGAATATAATCTGGTAATTCAAGCACACCCCGGAAAGGAAAATATCGTAGCAGATGCCCTATCCAGAATAAAAAATAGATGAAGAAGGTAATACTGTAAAGGTGGCAATGCTCACAGCATGTACAATAAATTCCCGAGAAACTGTAATAACCGAACTGGGTAAGGATCCTGAATTTAAAAATATTATGATTATTTAAAGGATCCTGAAAATTTTAGCCACCAAGATATTGTGGCGGTGGCGATAAGAAATAGGGCGGCCCATTACGAACTAATAGATGGTCTATTATTTTATACAAAAACTACAAATTCCAACAACGAATTTCGACCTGTTATCCCAGCTAGTCTTAGATTAAATATCCTGCAGGAGTTACACGACAGCCCTTTAGCTTCTCATGCTGGTATTCGAAAAAAACTATCCAACGCGTACGCGAAGGCAGTCTATTTTCCTGAACTGCAAAAGTTAACAAGGGCGTATGTCCAGTCCTGCCCAACATGTCAAGCAGTTAATTATATTAATTTCCGCCCGGCCGGGTTTCTAAATAGTATTAAATCCGAATTTCCAAATGAAATAATTGGCATCGATTTATTGGGCCCTTTCCCAAAAAGTCAGTTAAATAAAAGTCGCTATCTCCTTGTTATGGTTGATCATTTTAGTAAGTGGACCGAAATTGTTCCCTTAAAACGAGCCTCCGCGAAATTAGTTACTGATTCTATTTTAAATAAATATATTTTAAAATACGGGGCGCCCCTAAAAGTTATATCGGATAATGGTCCTCAATTTGTAAGTAATATATTTGAAGACATGTGCCAAAAACTGGGCATACGTCATTTAAAAATGGTCCCGTATCGGCCGCAATCAAATATAGCGGAACGGGTCAATAGAAATATAGTGAAAATTATCCGTAGTTATGTTAAAAATTTTCATAAAAGCTGGGATAACTATGTCAATGAATTTGCTTTCGCCCTTAGGACCGCAAAACATGATACAACGGGCAAAACTCCTGCTGAGTTATTTTTAGGCAGAAAGATTATAACGCCGTTAGATAAATTATTTTATGTTCAACAAAGAGCCCCAGAATTTAAAATGGGTGATATAGAAAAATTAATTAAAGAAGCAAAAAAGAACACTGAAGTAGCACAGAGAAAACAGAAACTTTATTATGATATGAAACGACGGGGAGTAACTTATAAAGTAGGAGATGAAGTATTAAAAATTAAGCATTCACTTTCTTCAGCACCAGAAGATAAAAACGCCAAATTTTTTCCACGATTTGAAGGACCATATGTCATAGAAAAAATAACTCTCACGCTGTAGTGGGTGTTAAAAGCCAGGAATGGTGAAACATGCTCCGCAAACATTGACCAAATAAAACCATACTATGACCGTAATAAAATGCAAATATTTAAAGATCTTTTGCAGGATCCGGCACGGCAGGCACTGCAGGCACAAGCTCCAGAGGTGGAACAACGACAAGCACAAGGGCAAGCCATTAGGAGGCAGGAGCAATTGAAAAGAAAGTTTCCCCGTTGGAAAATTGAAGGTAACAAGAAAAAGAAGCCGTTCCACCGACCAGAAAAGAGAGCGCACGACCACCCCCAGAATGAAGAAGGGAGAAGTACGACGAATGCAAAGAGAGCCAGGAGAAATAACGGCAACTATAACCCGGCTCCCAAACGGAAGATCTACTCATCGGACAGGACTCTACGCAGCAAATGTCGCCGAATTGCGGAAGGGACCACCAGCGGCGGAGGAAAAGATACAAGGAAAATTTGAACGGCCAGCAACGAGATCCAAGCAGGAACGAGAGAGGTGTCCCGGTTCCGCCAAGACCAGCGGCCATCAAACGGCCAAGACCACAGGCAGAGGCGAAAAAGAAGGTATTCAAGGGTGACCGAACTGGAGGGAAAAGAAAGCTCCTAGAGGAAGGAACTGAAGGGCGAGCCCGCACAAGAAGGAGGATAAATCAAACACGAATCTTTGCTACCTTCCAGGACTGGGCAGAGAAAAGAATGTCCGAATATCACAAAGATAAGTAAAACTTTATGTTACTTTGCAAACTTAAGTTAATCTTTCATTCTTACTGCAAGTGGCAGATTTCAAGACGTTTTACCTCATGTGAGGTCTACCTTTATCGCCAAAAAGGCGAGAAATGAGTTGTTACC